AAATAAAACCCAACACACACTTTAACAAAATCAAATCTATGTTTTGCAGCATGGAGACTCTGTGAGATTTTCATTATTACCTTGCTTTAAATAATTTAAAATTATTAAAAAGCAAATCTGCATTTCCTATTGACACTCATCCTAATTTAATAACCCGGGTGGCTGCAATTTTCATTAAATTGACTTACACTCTGACCGCATTTTAATAGACTTGACAATTTTTTCTTCCATTAGACTCTCTCAGCCTGCTGTCAAACAGGGATGCCAAGTTCACCCCTTCCAGTAAAACTGTGACTCATCCCACTTGAGACAGAGCCCTTATCTTTCCCCATTGATGTCAATCTCTTATCGCTGTCCCCTCCACTCCTGAGGACAGGCCAGAAGCCCTGCATTATCATTTTCAGTGCCTCAGAAGCACTCATCCCTGAACAGAAGAGAGAATCCCCTAGGGAAAGGCTGGGGCTGGGATTCCACTTGGCAGTGGATTCCACTTGGAGAGGACCCACTGCCGTGACTTACTGCTGGTTGGAGACTGAACTACCCTGGAGGCTTGCACAGGGGAAGAACATGGGGTGGGAATTCAGACATTTGGCATGGATTTGTTCCATGAAGACAGAAGTCAGTCAGGGCTGTCATTTCAGCAGCTCTGAACAACGTGAAGTTCGCAGGCAAGACGTTTCTGCCCTCGTAGCACTAGCTCATTGATTTCAAAGTGAAACTGTGTCACTTACAGCGGAGACTTGGCTCTGTGTGTAGTTAAAAAATGAATAAACAAAAAGCCAGTGCAGAGGATTTAAAGGTAAGCTCTCTCCATGCAAGTGTTGATAAGCGAGTCGTGGAATACGGCAGCCACACTTCCTCTGCAAGCACTGAACAGGACTTGGATTATGCCAGCTAAATAACGGAGTAATATGATTTTGCTTCCGAAAACACATACTCCCAGTGGCAATATCATAGTCCGTCACACCAGCTGTAAATCGGACAGGTTCCTCAATGCCTCATGGCTAACATCCCTATACAAGACTAATACACCAAGAGTAGCAATTGAAATGAACCCATTGTCTTTCTGGATCAATGATGCTGTTCCCTGTAAAAGTGCCTTTTATTGATAGCCATATTTTCTACTTCTCCTAGCAGTCATAGGACTTCTACAGACACGTGAATGATTGGGACAAGCCAACCTCTGCAGAACCGATTCTGCCACAGCACATTCTCCAGGGCATCCCCAGCACCACAAAGCGTGGAGGCACTAATGTCACCAGACTGGTTGGCTGTTTCTTCACAAACCCTACGCAATCACTTCAGTTCTCTCCCCTTTCGCTGCTCACTTCCCTCCATCTTTCCTTTCTACTTCTTTTCACTCTCTTTCCTCCCGTAATAAGCCTTCATTCCAAGCTTTAGTTTTATCTCCCCAACAAAACATTAAAACAAAAAGACAACTACAGAAAAATCAGGGCAGCAAAGAGGAGATTGTGAACAGTCACACTGGTCACTCTGCTGTTTGGTCAATGAAAAAACTGTCACGTCTTCATTGCTTAAAAGGAGGCCCTGATTTTGTCTAGCACTCCTGTACTTTCTCGACGATGCAAGATGTACTAATCTATTAGTTTCAGAGCCAAATCCTAAGTTTATCATAAGTAATAGTTTAGTGCATTTGCGGACTTAACCCTCCCAAAATACCTTAGGAAGGGGAATTCCCCCTAAGCTCAGGAATGTGGTCAGAGCCAGGATGCTGAGTGAGGCCCATTTCTAACAATCACCATTACAGCCTCAAACTGAATTCAATGCAGCTGCAGACCCTGGCATATCAGTACTTATTCTGAGCTCCTTTGCAAGGGCTACCTAGATCTTTGCTGGTTTGTGCCAAGTCTTTAATTTCAGTTTCAAGCTGTTGAAACTGAACACGTCTGTCATCAGACTTTGCAGGTGACTCCTTCCCTGATGAAACTGTGATTTCTTTTTGGTATTAAGTTCAAAACTTAACTACAGCGATTATCTCCCACAATGATGACAATTCTTTCAGCTTTCCCACCCAGCATGTCTGTGTTTGGTGAGAAAACAAATTACCTGTATAAATATAAAATGCTCACATATAATTGAAGGTTCCCACGCAAGCCACATTCTCATGATAGCTAGCCTCTCCATGCTTCTTTTTATGGGAGCACCTGTGAGTTAGAGTGGAGTATTTCAAAGGATGAAGACAATAAGCCCCATTCTTTGTGGTTCTTTAGACATGACAACTTGCTTATTACTTCCCAAATAACAGTAAAAGTGATGTTTATTCTGCTTTCACCCATCTATTCAGAAAAGCCTTGAAGTTCTAAGTAATAAAACATGTTAGCATTTTAAATTTGTATTGATACTTTCTATCCATCACTTTAATTTCTAGTTTAACCAGTGTCATTTTTTTTCAGTTGATCACTCTGTTTTTCTCGAGCTTTTTTTCTTTCCTTGTACCTGTCCTTTCCCTCACAATAGATCTGCTACAGTCAATCTGACAGCTTTACTTCCCCTTTCCCCAAAAGCTGGGGGCTTATGATAAAAGAGAGCTTAGTGATGAATTGCAGTACTAAGAACTTAAACTGAATTGAGCTCGCAAAGAAGCAGTTAGAAGAAGCATATAACACCCAGAAAAGTAAATAAACTTTGAAGTTTATTCACTCACTGATGAAAAGGATATTTACTCTTTGCACAGAGGAGATGCCCCAGCATTTTACAAACAAGCCATTAATTGTCATATACTCTAAACATACAGCAAGAGAGAAAGGAGTCACGGCTGGAAGGTTTACACTGGGTTTCGTTCCTGAAGAATGGCAGAGGTCCAGCTGGAGAAATAATATCGCTGCAGGAATAAAAGTCACAGGGCTCCATTAACTCTATGCACGTGTAGGGGCGGGATAGACACACACACACACACACACACATATAGAACAGGCACCTGGCCCAGAAAGCAGGGCCAAGGCTGCAGGCTCCCTGCCCACGCACCCGGCTCCCGCCTCCCGAAGCCCGCGGCCACCAGGGGTCCTCCGCACGGTTGCAATACGCACTGCGTGGCCCTATCAGGCAGTTTCTCGCGCGAACCCGGCAGCACTCCCATCTATCTGTTTTTCCACGAAAGGTTGTATGGAAATGTACTTACATTAGAAAAGAAAGTAAGCAGCTTCTAGTTCGCTGGAAAGGAAAAACTAACAGTGCCAAGGAAAAAGAGTCTGTTAGTTTACAGTATTTTTGTATCTCAGCCCAAAAGCCTCTGCTCTACAATAGTTAAAACGTTAAAAAGCTACTCAAGGGAAACACTGAGATGGTAAGTCTCTTTCTGAACCCGCGCAGTGCACACAGCATCTTGTGCTCTCTGTAGAACTGCTCAGAAAAGCCATGCCACAAAGGGGCTGAGGATTCTCCTTAGCGTTTTTGTCAAAAGTATTGTTAATGGCTGATACGAATTCTTACTGGAAGCATTTATCATCAGAAAAAAATGTCAGGAAAATCTATGCAAGTTTCTTTGAAAAAACACTAGCCTGAACTGAGTTTAAAAAAAAAAAAAAGAAGGAAAGGAAAGGTAGAGACTTTCTTATATCCTTACCCCAAAACTCTCATTCCTTCCGGGCTGTGATAACCAGAAAACACTAACAAACTGCTAAAAGTATTGATTTAGAAAAGTAATTATCTTCACTTCATTCACGCTCTTAAGAGTTTACACTTAAAAAGCAACACTTTTCAAGTGAAAAGCAACTCTCCTTGCTTTCCCAGCTCTTAACGAATCAGAACAGACCCTCTTAAGACAGAGCTAAAATTTGAGGCAAAAGGGTCCCTTTCCCTTCTCCTCTGAAGTATGTAGCCTCCAGTTATCATTAACAGGAATGATGACACTTGCAGGCCCTGTTCTGCAAAGTGCTTTTTCCTGCTGTTTCTCATGAAACATAGTATTGTGCAAATGGATTGGCTCCTTCATGTGCAGAACAGTATAAACCCCGTCACACAACCACAGCCTGGATCTAAATGGGGTGGATGGAAGGCTGCACAGCATCACGTGCATCCAGGAGATTAGCATTTTGTGCTAATGGGAAGACAAAGACATCACCTGTCCAAGCTACCCGGTAAATCCAGGCCTATCCCCACACCAAACTAATTTAGGACATCCTTTTATTTGTCTTCCCAAAAAGCAAGTATTTATCAATATACTTCATTTTATATTCACTGAGCTCAGCTTGGTGACAAGGTAGAAAACTGAAGAAGTCTTTTTTTGGTTGTTTTTTCAATAATATATTGTTTGAGCTCTAATCTGGGCTTTAATCTGTTTCAGAAACAAATTGAAAACTTATTCCCCAAATGTTTCCAATGGGCTATGAGGCTTGTTTGCCATCCACAAGACACGTCCAGGACACTGGATTCATTGTGTAGTTGTTTGTTATGGGCACATTAACCTTGTCTGTGGAGATGTCTGCTGAGCTAATGCCCTGTAAATTTAAATATATTTGGCATATTTGCAAGACAAAACAGAAGTGCTCAAAGCAGTGCACAGCGCTCCAAGAAGTGGATGGATCAGATGTGTTTCAGGAGGGCAAAAACATTTTATAGGCTAAGTCCAAAACAGTTTAGGATTATTCCAGCCAAGAGATAAGCTGAAATAAATTAATGGAGGGCCCCATTGCTGCACCATGTTCCACAAATGGCATTTTGAAACCTTCCTGAGACCAGACCACCTCTGAACTGTGCCAGGGACTACAGAAATGTACGCGGAAGACCTTTTACTTTAAGTAATTCCAAAGAGAACTTACGTGAATGCATGCTCACTCTTAAACCAATCCAGTGTGTTTATTTGGCTCATGACAACAGATCTAGGCACCTGGAATCACTTATTGCAGAGAAGACATCTTCCATACGTAAATTTATGCAACACATCACAGAGTGTATCTCTACAGTTCATCACTAAGAATAAACTTTACAGGCATTCACTTGTGAGCGGTCACTAATATGAACATGCAAGATCCAGTGCAAAGTTCAATTCAAAGATTTATTTATTAAAATGCCTTTTCACATTCCCTATAGTAACAAATTTGTATGGACACTGGTGGGATGCTAGAGTGAACATTTGCCAACAGAAGAGTGCTGTGAAGTAAGTTGTGAAAGGTTTATGATACAAACATTTTCATAGGGAACAATAAATTAAAGAGATACTAGCCAGTAACTGACACCAGAAAATGTAAATGTGTTTGGAATGAGGATATAAAACCCTTTTGTACTTCTTGCTGTTTTTGCGCCTTTGATGCAATGCATAAAGCAGTAACTATATATGTATATACAAATCCATGTCTTCTCTTCCATTATTTGCTAATTAAAATGAGAACCTTCTTACCTGTAGCCCAGATCTTGTAGTAATTTAATCTACAGTAAGAAAAAGAGAGCAATTGCAATGTCAGCGATCAATGGGTTGAAGGGTTGGGGGCAGCACTTTTTATTTTTCTATTTTCTTAAAACTAATGCAACTGAGATAAACATGATGAGATCCAAGTCCAGAACTGGATCCAGGCTAGCCCGAAGTTTAGAGCCAGGGTTTTACCGAAACCCTAATTTGAAATAGGATTCCAGCAATTGTTTTGGATTGAATGTGATCTTCAAAAGCCACGATAGTGGTTTACCATACTATAGAGAAAAAGGATAGATATGAAACGTAAGTACAACTGCAGATCTCTCCTAAAATCAAATGAATAAGGATTATATGTAACAGGATTTTCAGGCACAAACTCATTGACCTGAGTGTTGTATATCCAGCCACCAAAGACCTATATTTTGCATCATCCAAAATAACTGTGATGGGCAAGTATTCCTTGAAGAGCCATCACAAAAAACAACCAAAAAGCATTAGAACTTTTAGAGAGGAAAAGCAATTCAGCAAAGAACAAGGAATATTTGTGCCCCTACTGATAGAAGCACTTGGTAAAGCACTGAATCTCTGAATAGTTATTCAAGTTTTTAGAGATCCCAGTTTGCTCTTCCATTAGACCTGCCATTGCAGTGTAACATCCAAGCTAGCTATAAATTAGCTGGCTCCAAGACTTGTAGCAGTCCAGCTGCTGCAGCACAGGGAGCTCAGCACAAGCTGCAAGATCTTGTCAGAGCACATACATGGCTGGCCAGGCTGTGCTGAGCTCTGTTCTGCCACAGTAGTGTGTTACTGATAACCAAATTAACTAGTTTAAAGCAAGCTTAGATATCTAGGCATCACAGTAGTCACTGCACTGTAGAAATGTACTTCATCAGCTGTGGCTTCCCCTTCTATTTCCTCAGAGCATGATCAATTGGAGACTAGAGAGACAAAATTGCATTAGCAGGAGAAATTAAAGATGGGAAGCTAGGTCAGCGGTTTCCAGAGCCACTTTCCTATGAGAATTTTTATTTGTAATTTTTTCCCATTAAATGTTTTAGGAACATCTCTATGGACACCCCTGAGGAAATAAACTTTGAAAAGAAAAGCCTGGCAAACTCATAAACAGAGCTTTTGAAACAGCTGCAACATCTTCCATCTTGGTTTGCTTTCTTCCCCCAGTCGATGTTTGAGATGGCTGTTCTAAGTAGCATCACGAGGCCCTTGTATTCTCTGTTGGCAACAAGACCAAAAAAGAAAAAAAAAAGTATGAATATAAACGTCCCCCATCCTCTCCTGTCCTTTTTGTTCAACATAAAAACTTTAAATGTAACAACATATTCCTTAGAGCACTGTGCAATGAGCTAATAAATACTCGCAGTTCCCCAGGGAGACAGTCCTATTACCTTCATTGGATAAAAAGGAAGTAAGACAGTGGGAGATTTAGATTAACAATTCCAGACTGGCTTGCAACACAGTTAAGCACCAACATTTGTAACTGGGCACTTACTGAAAAAATTGGGTTCTTATGGGAACTGCTGGCACCCAACGGATCTGAAAGGCCCCTTCTTTACTAACGGATGCTAAATGCACAATGAGGCTCCCAACTTCAGTCCTACAACCTATGAAAACCTTTCCCCAAGAAGCATTTGGGGTATCCCAACAGTGAGTGATGCAGCACCCAACAGGCAGACACTGTGTTTCTACGAGAATCCTCTCCTTAGATCAGGCTCTCTATTCAGTATAGGAGGTCACAGAAACCTGGCACTGAGAACCACAAAAAGCAACGTGCAGATGGCAGAGCCATCTACACTAACCAATGGGAGATGTCAAGGAAAGTTCCCAAAATTCATAGACTTTACATTACATCACAGAAATAAGTCTATCCATTGAGGACTGGCAACTGTCAGGTCTTTCCTGACCTCAGCTGCCAAAGCAAGTCCTCCCACAAAAAGCTGCTAAGAGTACGTGGTGGCCTTTAACCTAATAGTTTAGTCTGTCAGCACCGAGGCGCCTAATTCCTTTTGTGGACTTACCCCCAAAGGATTTGCCCCATGACTCAGAGGCAGGAATTCCTGGTTTATAATTCAATGTTTATTTCAGAGGATCACCTTGTTTTCATATCCTGACTGCCTGAAATCTTCCCATAATATTAAATGGACACATCCTTCATCTTCATTTCCCTTCTGAAGTTATTGTGCCATGTTACTATGCACAGTTAAACACATGCCAGGTCCCGCTTCAGAGCTGGCTGCATTTTGCTGGCAAAGCGAAGCACTTCTTTTACCACAGAGAATTTATAAAACACTTTTGGGATCATTTGGTAAAGAGGAGAGAATACCTGAAAAAATAGACATTTCTCCACTTAGTTTGAAATTGGTCAGGTTTCTATCTCAGAGGGTACATTCTCAGGCTGTACAAAGAGGCAGCTGAAAGTACACTCTGTCCTGACTGAGACTGCCAGCCCACATATACGCCAGGACAAAATAAAACAAACAAACAAACACATCTAAGAGGTAATAGGGGAGGAGGAGATATGAAGTCAGAATGTACCGCTGAGGTAAATTCAGCACAATACCAATTAGTATTTGGCGAAGTGGCTATCTCATTGTTAAGATATTTCCTTCAATATGTTTTCAGAAACTGGGACCATTAAATAACTTAGAAAGATTGCCAGCTCTGATTTCAGGAAGGAAACCTCCTCCCAGTTCCTCTCTAAGTAATTCATTTCTTTTGCAAATACTTCCTATGGATGGCATTTAAGAGGCAAATTCCTGAAACAGATGAGAAAGAGGGAAGGAACTTCCAAACCAAAACTTTGGGCTCACTTCTAAATGTCCTGGAAGTCCAAGGCATTCAGGTTCAAGTTACTCTGGACTGCAAATCAGTTAGAGCCCATATCGCAATTAGACCTTTATAAAATTTAAATAATTCAGACTTTAACAGATAATGCGTTTTTCTAACACATCACCTTTCTTGACATCATACATTCAAACATTTCAATGAATCCGCGTAACACAACAACTATTGTCAGCGCACAGTGTTTACTAAAAGCCCTGAGCTCAATTTGATCACGGTCTCACAGTGAAGATGGAGAGGAGTTCCTTTGTTTCCATGCTGAATTATATTTATTCTGACAGAAGCTACTCAGAGGCAAAAACATAGGATCAGGGCTAGTGCTCATTAAAATGATTTTCTTCATCTTTCTCTTCCATAGTGCAGTACTCTATTTTGTCTGTGACATCTGGAGGATCAAGGCATAATGGAGTAAGTTAATAAAGTTTATCTGAGGAGTGGGACCCACGCTGTTAGTTTAATTTCGAGAGAGAAAAGGACAGCAGGATCTGATGCCAAGTTTCCACCATTATTACTGAAGCAAAAAGGTTGCATGTCCTCCTGCCTCCGAAAAAAAAAAAAAAAAAAAAAAACTCTTAACAAAACACTAGCCTTTCTGCTGTGGTGCCCTTTGTCCCATAGACCCTTCTGGGATACCTATTGCTGCTTGGACAGAGTCAAATTCTACAGGCCTGTTGTCTGACAGCTCACTACAGCCAAGTAACCTATCCGGCATTTCATGTGATTAAGATGCCATGCCAATCAGCCCAGAGCCTGAAGGCCCCCTTTCACTCACAAGGTAAGGGAGCCGCAAATGTAAAGCAACTTCACCTCTGAACCAAATACTTCATTTGTTTGTAAAGGAGCAGAACAGCTGGAGAGGAAGTTTAAGCCACTTGATCAATTTAGAGGAGCATTTTCCTTTTGATGAGTAGGATCAACAGCTCCCACTCATTTGGTCCAAACCTCTGTGGTACATCAGAACTAAACATTGAGACAAAACAAGTTATAGAAAAAAAAACTGCAACACAATAACGATAGAAAGCACCTTTTTAACTCCCTGCCTCTTCTGTGCTCATCTACGTTGCCTGAAAAGTGCTGAGAAGCAATTGGGGGATGGGGGGGATGGAAAAATCTATAAAGAAATTTATTTGTCCAGTCCCAATGCAAATCACTTATCCGGAGCATTCAAAAGAGGGATGGTGCTGCTTTTTGTCACAGATTTTATTGGGAATAGAAGCAAGTATTCAAGAGGCAGAAAATGGGGAATTGTTTTTGCCACGTGTTTGGAAGCACTCATAATTCAAAAAAGGAACAGTTACTATATTAAGTACATGAGCAATATCTAAGGAGGGGGCACAGTGCCACAGATGTGAAGTGAGTAAGACTATTTCTAGGAAAACTCAGTAAGATGTGCAAGTGTTACAAAGCCAACTTTTCTTTGGGGTGCTTCTGACAATGGGACTAGCTTTATAGAGTATCTAGTCTTATTACTCTCAAACTCTCATTAACAGGAGTTTGTACAGACAACACAAGGAAAACACTGCCCTTGGTTGACACTTCTCCCTTCAACCTAGTATTATTTCACAGGTTGTCTGCTTTGGCAAGCTCTAATAGCCCAATTAATTAAGATGGAAGTGGGGCACTACATGGAGTAGTCACTGTCTTTTCACTGAAACAGCCTCATACTTCCATGGAGAAATTTTTGGCCACAGGAAAACAAAATGAAAACATCTTCATAGAGCTTTAGTCTTTCATCCAATGTCCTTTACAAATGCTGTAGGACATTTGTACAAAGGACAAAAAACTCCCCCCTCAGCCCACACCAGATGGCTACCACAGCCACTCTTGCCCATTTTTCCTTTGTGTTGGAAAGGGCCAAACTTTCTTCTGCCTGACTCTCCAAGGAGTGCCTGGTATAACCCAGAGGAGAGTAACTGGATTTATTTTTAGAGAACTGAGAGCAAGGAATAAAAACAAACCTTTAAACTAAGAGAGACAATGATACTATAAACCCTCCTGGCCTGTTAATATATGTCTGTTTATCGTAACACAATCTGTGACCTTCAGTGCTCTGCCAATGTCTGCAAATAATACAATGGGCTGCTTTTTTATCCCATGGGGATGTGAGTGCTGATGGAGCCTTTCAAAACTCAAATGGATGCCATAAGCTGACGTAGGCTGTGCTATTGTGATTCTTATTTATGAGTCTCTCTCTCTCCCTCTCTCTCTCTTCTTTTTAAGTACAAGTTCCAAAGTCACAAAGTAGATGGCAGAAAAAAACACCTTGTCTGCCTGGTTTGAGGTTGGGTTAGATAATTTATCTAACTTTTATGAAAGTTCTCCAGAAATCTACGTTCCTTGCCTCTTAGATTTTTTGAGAGCAGACGAACAGCTCATTCAAGACAGTCAGTCTTTTTTTTTCCTCCCCCTATAAATACATTCTTTTCTCTGATTTGTTAGCCCTATAAAGCTGTTCACCGTATCGTTCACAACTTAGGAAGGACCTCACTTCTCCCAGTGTCCCAGTAACAGATGTACGTATGTCATGTGAGCAGGCACAAAGTGAGGAGATTCGCTAGCAGGAAATACACTATACATTTTCCAGAGAGAGCTCAGCAACAGCTCTCTGCCCCCAGCTGTATGTTAACAAGTTTAGCAGGTTCTCATAACTGAGCCTTGAATGCCTCAGCTCCAACAGGAGCCTGAAGCAAGTAGCAGCCACCCCCAACCCTGGGCCATTCTGACAGCGTGAATATATGCGATACATATCCTAAGCTGTACGGTTGTTTAACATACACGTTACTGGAAGATCAGTATTTGTCATCTACCTCCCATACTAGTGCTATCAAGTACCAGTCAATTCCATGACTCGTACAGCTGACCACACTATAAACGTATCACTGAAAGCCTGGCTAGAAAGAACGTATATGAAGGGGTTCGTCCAATAGCTACCAGTAAACAACAGTTGTGAACAACAAATAAATAATGAGAAATACGGCCACGTTTGAATGTTATTTCACTATAGGAACAGTAACCTCAATCCTATCTCCCTATCTTTAGTTGCTCACGTAAAATGCATACTTACAGAATGCCTGCTTTCCACAGAATCTGTAAAATAAAATATAATTCACAAATTACGAAATGGCACACTGCAGAATGATCAGTTTATGCTCCACAAAATGGCCTTTTATGCTTAATCTAACTTTTGTTTGTTCACTTTGGAATAATGTAATATTGCTACCTACGACTGAGGTTCAAGCTCTCGTCCTAAGAAGTATTCAAGCCCTAGCTTACTGCAAGTACATGGGTAGGACCAACCATTTCAAAGACCGTCTTGAACAGAAGTACATGTTTGACAGCCTTCCTGATTATGACTTACAGCAGAAGTCTGTCCAGTGTTAATAGCCTCTACTGAGAGCACAAACTGTTACCAGACAAAAAAGAATCTTCCTTTTAGAGGCAAGTTCTCATGAGCATTATACTTCCTTTTCCAATCCCTTGCCAGGAAAACAACGTGCTGCAGAAATCTGGTATACAATACAATTTTCAGAGACAAATAAGATCCCATGAAGACACCTGATATTTGATTAATAGAGAGATGCTTGTTCCCAGTGAAGGTCTGAGAGCCAGTGGGAAGTCTTTTCATTTAGGATCAGTGAACTTCAAAATTACACCTCAAACTTATTTTTAGAGTGAATTTACCTACTTAGAAGCTTCAGAGAATGCCTTCAAATACTAAAACATAAATATTTCTTTGACCTCTAAAAGTAAGACCAGTTAGGGACATGAGGAAAGTAACTCCTCTTTTAGAAGAGGACTGCGAGTTCAAAGTGTTCTTTTGTGTGGCCTGTTATTTCACACACGATAAAAGCAAGTGCTGAATCCTGAAGGCTATTTTCTTGGGAAGTATATCAAATTCAGCGGAGAGAGGTTGTGCCAGGGAAATTCATCTGACGTTCAAAGCACAGGATTCGGACTAGGGCTCTGGGCTAATCTTGGCAGTCATTTTCTCTATGAAGTTGGAAGACTCTCTTAATCTATGTTTATGATTATGTATTTTTAGAATTATAAATAACATTAACCCTCCCATAGGCAGAACACTTTAAATAATGTTTGAAAAGTGCTTTGAAATAAACAAATGAAGAATATTATGAAAAATACTATATGTTATTATGGCTATTAACAACTGTAAATAGGCCTTAATAAAGATCTAGAAAATCCCTTGACAGCCAGTATAAGTAACGAGAAAACTGAACAAAGGTGAATCTAATTTTGCAGTTAACAATGCTAATGTCTCTCTCTCCTTTATGATTACATCCGTGTGTATTTGTGTGCAGTTAAGCTCACACAGTTCATACCATCAGCATTTTTATAACATTAGGATCATGATTTTGCTCACTGAAAGCAACATCATAAACATAGCATACAATCGGGCTGCAATTTCTGAAACACAAAGAGACTACCAGAATGTACCAATCACTGTGCGCTATGAGTTCTCTCCAAAATAGTGCTGTCCACAACGTTTAGCCTAGCAAAAGGGTTAAAAACTCACGTGCCTGCAGGTGCATATTAGGTGCATAAACTTAATTTCGGTATGAAATTGATCCCAGTATGTTTGGCCAATTTGATAAGAAACAAAAGTTACATGGGAAACAGGTAAAAGATTGTTGTGTCTTGAGAGCAGACAGCACTGAACAAAAATGCCACTAACCCATTGCCACATCAAAGCTTGACTTTGAGTGGACAAAACTACATGTAAGGTTTATGAAGTGAGATATCAATGGACCACCGTTTAGGCCCATGTCACAATGCATTGTGCTTACAGGAAGAAGGAAATGAGAAATTCTGTATAAATTCCAAACTTCAAACGACGGGATGTTTGCTACTGCAAAGCTACTAGGTCAGAATAACAGATATTCCACCTCCATATAATCTATCACCCTGAATCAAAATAATGCGACTTTCTAGCCAAGGGTCATATCTCTGCCAGGGGAATATCACACGCTGTGTCCTTTGAAGGTGCTGCTCAAAGGCCATATGATTTTCAAAAGGTACCAACCAGGTAGGCCTGCATATATCCTCTAATGAAAGCACAATGACAGCTGGATGGTGCTTTTGCTAATTCTTCGCCAAGCCAATCTTTTCATAATCTTTTTTTTTTCCTTCTTGTTGTAAACACGCAGTATTTTTTACTCAAACTGAACTGATTTTACTGTGATGAGAGGGAACAGAGAGATTTTCAAATGAAACTTAGCATTCCCCTATTAATAAAAACAGGGAAACAGACATATGCTAGATTCAGAAAAATAGATCAAGCTTTCCTTCCATAGCAGTAGCAAACAAGGATTTAAATGTTTTGTTAAAGGAACCAGAGCAATAAATGACCTTACACTCCAGCATTCGTGACTTCTAAACATTACCAACTATAATACAGATGGGTACTTTTATGGATTCCTGATAGATTAAAATTCTTGTTATTGCCTTCTGTCGATGAGGTGGTTTTAAATTCAAAGAATATATTTTTACAAAGGAATACAATAGATGGATTTTCTGTAAAGAATGAACGCCAGCCCACGTGGCTTAGTAATTTCCTAGTGGCAACTACTGGAAACCGGGATCAGTAAGGCCCAAGGAAACGTCTGGATCACAAGCAGAGTTCAAACAGATTTTATTCACTTCTGGTGCATCGTATGGCAGTATGCTGTCATCCCCCTCTGCCTTGCCGTTCTCCACTGCCACAGGTTATGCAGAACAGAATATAGGCCTAAGCAGCTGCAGTTCACAATCCATCTCAAACACATCTTCAACAATGCTGAAAGCTAAGATGCTGGACTATCAGCTGAAGAAGCTGAACTGCAGGCACATACTACATTCTGCCATGTCTTTTATAGGAGCAGTAGCTTTCAAGAGACAGGGAACCTTGGCAGGCAGATTGAGAACAGCATCTTACACAGGGACATGCACACGATTCTGCTTTGCATTTTAGGTTCAAGCAAGGTCAGAAGCTCCCTGCATATTTGCGTCTTACCGAAACCATCTGGCTTTGCCTCATTTTTGGCCAAAGCTATAGTCAGCCTTTAGCTCTGGAATCAATGTCTCACAGATCTACGTTTTGGTATAGAACCTGTCTTGAAATACTAAGATACGCAGCAATTTTATTTCGGACAAGGGAAAGATTATTTACATAATCTCAGATTGCATGCAGTTAAAACGTGCTCTTAAGGGCTAAGTTCTGAAGAAGATAATGAACTCCAAACCCTGTGAGTTTCCTTCATGCTGGAAAAGGCTTTCAGTGGGAACTTCTGGTTGAGTACAGTTAAGCCTGAGGCCCAGTAGCAGGAAAGTATTTGAGCAGATTTCCTGATTACTGGAGCTGATTTCTAATAGCTTGTTCCAAACCACTGAATGCAATGGGGATTTCTCATGCCTCTTTCCACTGAGATATATTTATTTTTCCATAGTACATTGTTGGTTGCAGTAGGATTCTTAGAATTTCCTGTCTCGCCACCGTAGTTACCTCCAAGCAACCAATTCATTTTTCCAGACTTCGCAGCATAAAGGCTCTGCATTTTGTTTGCTATATTTCCCTTTTCCTGATGAAAAATTAAGAATAGAGAGCAGTTCTCTTGCAATAAGCCACTGGGAGTTCAACTCAGTGTACACCGAAATCAGAGCAAAACCTATCACTGCCTTCTGTGAACTTTGGATCTGATGCAGAACAAAAGCAGAGTTCACTGAAGGAGCAAGGATGTACTAATACACTGTTTTCCGCATGAAGGGCCCTGAAAAACATAAGGAAATCTGTGACCTGGATTGGCTCTAGTCTTCTCAGCAACATGAACTGTGCTACCCCAAGAACTGGGACCTGTGTCTAAGGAAGGGGTGCAGATGAGATGAAAAAACAGTAGAGAGATGCTTGGACTTCCTGCCCCTACTGCCCCTTGGGAGGCTCAAAGGTGTGATGCAAGTAAATCCTGCATCTAACAGAGCCTCCACCCTCCAGGAGCTCTTACCATTGACCTCTGTCCCAGGAACAACAGCAGCTGCCCTGCCTAGCCAGTTGGGATTCCAACACAGGCAAAGTAGGCAGCAAGGCCACGGTCATTTTACCACTTCTGGCGGTCTGCTGATTTAGACAATTAACTGTTTTGCTTGTGTCTCAGATTGTCTCTGTTCTGAACAAAAAGTAATGGCTCCGAGACTGGGCTGGATATTGCCCTGATGCCCCTGACCTTTGAAAAGGTCAAATACTTTGACCTTTTCATAGAGTAACCAGGGAAAACAGTATTTTAAAGAAATAAGTTCATCCTGTTGGAGGTGGGGAACTTCTAGACAGAGGTGTCATTGCTCTGGCTGGCACTAATTGTGCCCCTTCCCCAATCTGGATTGCCATTTGGATGTGTAGCTGATGTCAGGTTTGATTTAAAGCTGAGACTGGAAGCTTTAGGTATTTTCTGTAAAATACTAAAGTAATAGCCTATTGATCTAGAGACGTTTTAAACCAATACCTGGATCAGCTTCCCAAACACCAAGTCTCCTTTCTTTGAATTAAATTACCATTCACCAAAAGTGCTAGGACGCTTTCACCTCCATGAGTTGCTTCCAGAGACAATACTGGCATGATCAGCATCCTCCTCATTCCTCTCATTGTATCAGAGAAAATCTAGGATCCAACTAAGGAGATGGGATCCAACTAAGGAGATGACATTCTCTATCTGCAGTACTATTATTTGAGTTTAAACCAAAATATTCCTGACTATGCTGCAATTTAACAAATGATTTGCTTCTCCCACAAAACCACGGTTTTGCTAACTCCATTGACATTCTCTGGCATTTGAAATGCACCTGTTTATGCAAAAAGACTGTGTCTCAGACAGCCTATCTTTAGCCTGTCTTTAATGTCTATCTTTAATGTAGTACCTCCTTATGCCTGGTATTCAGACTGAGGAAAGCAGCACAGTAGATAGGATGGGAAGTCTTTAACACGGTGTGGAAGAGATACTGAAATGATCGTAAGAGGAGATAGCACAGTCAATACAGGAAACCAAAAGGAAAAGGAATAACGGTAGATGCTCAGCACACTACCAAAGGCCTGGCACTTTGGAAAGGCCAGAGCATTATCTGCACTATGGACTCATATCCAAGATGAGTTGGTTACTGAGATGGCATCTGCCTTGTTGAGGACAGCAGCAAGAGTGGTCAGAAAAAGGGAGAGGAAAAATGTTTTGGCATCAGACATAACAACTACTGACAGCTCTTCAGCTTCCTCTCTAATGGACTAAAATCTTCATATGCACAGGCAACTCCCTGAAAAGTCATAATTGCTTATGAAGCACTCAATTAGTTCTAAGCGCAAAATCCCAAGCCACAAATCTGTCCTAAAAGCAGGTAATATTAAAAGGTTGCATAGGTCTTAGGTGTTATATCTTTCAAACAGTGTAGCCAACACCAACTTCCCAATTCATGTAGTTTCCCCAGAGGGCACATTTGTTCTAACCACTGACTTGCTGACATAGATTGTACTCTCAGGCACCAAAAATCTCCGAATAATCAAACCCAGTGAATATCATACCAGTAAAACACCTTCTGTGCCCACTAATAACGTTAATCATCTTTCAGAATTGGGCTTCAATGTACCTATATTCGTTATATAATGTACTTATATTAAGTATGAAAGATAAGCATGTTACTTATGAAGATACATCTATTTCCCAGGGATCTTCCATTGCATTTGTACTTTGCTACCTTGTCATACCATCATACAGCCTATCAAAAAACAAAGTAAATATTACATTTAAATAGAATGCAATGTAGCTATCCAAAGCAACTGCATAGCTATGTGATGCACTGCTTATCTATTTGAAACACTTTTCCTGTGTATCAGTCAGGAAAAACAGACGTGATTAAAACAATAAACTGTTAACTATGTTTCCAAGAATAACTGAAACTGTAGAATGTTATGTATAACAGAGCAGGTGGATTGTGAGATTAAGGAGTGCTTGCATATCATCTGGTTAATTCAGCCTAGTCTTTCAATCATGTCTCACTTTACCGCAGTTCCGGCCTTATGACAAGTACAGTTTTATAAGTGCTTTGAATTATAGCTCAACCACCCCATCCTTAAGTTTACGCTAGAACTCACAAAATGCCCTTTTAGTGTATAAAACTCCTTCTGCTCCGTCAAAAATGGGAAGGGTGAAAGGCATAATATTCAGCAGAAAACAAGGGGTTATGCAGTGAGTTTGTGCAGCTCACTGTAGGTCCAGTCCAAACTCACTGGAAGACTTTTGAGAACATTACTAACTCATTAGCCTTTGGGCTAGGCCCTGAAGTGAGCTGCCTTTTTCTCGTGATGCTGCCATGCTATCCTACAGGAAGTGCCTAAGCCTGCTCTTTGGTGTAAAGGATGTTCTGCTTTCTCTGCAAGACTGTGCAAAATGAGTACAAAGTTTAGGTTTAGCAGCAAGCTAGGTGTCAGGTTTCTGAAACTGTGTTCCCAGTGTTGTCACTGTCTAAATACATTGCCAGAAACAAATGACCTAATCTCTCTCCTAACGGAGATAAAACTGCCTTATAATTCCTCACAAGGGAAAATTAAGTAATGTTTTGTAAGTACCTGGAGATCCTCAGGAAAGATTCCTTAGAAACAGAAAACTGTGTTGGAGGGGGTTGGAAATCCCATATTAAATAGGAAAATAGCAAATTAAAACACAAAGAACGAAAAAATCAAACGTGGTATACAACAAAACCACTTGATAAGATGGATGGGGAATGGAAAGAAAAACTGACCAGTGTATAAGCCCTAATATTTACAAATCTAGACTTCCTAATACAAAGAGAGGGAAGAGAATCCTTTGATTTAGTCTTCAACAAGCCATGCAGAAGCACTCTTAACCTACTGTCTCTGAACGCGTTACTGCCAGAGCATTTATAGACAGTAATTGCCAGTAAGCTGCTCATGTCCACATACAAAAGTCTTTGTTAAATTCAGGAGCTGAGAGGGGTTAGTGTGGCTGGCACACACAGTCTGAGACAATTTTTGATAGCGCTTAAAACAAACAAGAAATCCACCCTGCTAAAGTGATTATCTTGTTTTCAAGTTTTTTAGTTTGTTGTTGGGAGCTTTAGGGATATTTCTAGGGTTATGTCCAAAAATAGTGTAATATTTTACAACACTGGCAAGCATGCTTAACTAAGAAGAAAAAAAAAAGAAAAAGAAAAAGAAAAAAGTGTTCTGCATTAGCAGTTGGAGAGGGGTTTGAATCAGAACATAGCATCCTAATATAATTCCCAACAAGGCATGTTCAGTTCTAGATGTAGAGCCAAACTACTTGGCAGACACAGTGTGAATGGGCTGATAACCTCGCTGCATTAAGAATCACTGATTTATGAAAAACCATGAAGGTGCTGCACAGTTTATTCACACCTGTGATTTCTTAGCTGCTATTCAGGATGTTTCTGGGTGACCTGGATCTCTTTTTATGGCATTTATCTTCTAAACTAATCACTCACAAATCTATCCCTAATCTCTACACAAATGCTTCCTTTATGTGTTTAATTTTTCACTAGCTTACTTACCATTATTAGCTTTTCTGATTTCACTATAAACTGTTTCAGTCCCCTTCTGTACAGGAGCTGGAAAATGTATTGGCACAGAATCAATTTATTTTCTTTTTTTGTTTGCCTTACAAAAAGCTCCTTAAACAAACAGAATACATTGTTTTACTTTCAGAGGAAGCAGGTACATAAGCAGCCTGTAGAGTCTATATGAAAAAGCACCTACCCCCCCCTTCCCCAAACCCAGTGTGTATGGTTCTGGCAGAGAGATGTCCCTCCCTCTGCATGCAAAATGATGGTCAAGAGAGGCTTCCTCTCCTAAATTTGACTTAAACATTCTAATAAGCTTCTCAACTTAAATTGATGGTACTTTAGTTTACTAGAAACATCTTAGACCAGAAAAGAATTTCTCTGCTTGATTTAAAAGAGCTGTTTCTATTTGTTCCAAGGATTTAGGGATCCTAGATCTGAGCATATCTGTAACTTGGAATACCAACTACATTCCCTTTTGGTAACTGACCTGATTAAATCTTATAGTCCCAAAAATGATCTGATTCGCTGTTCTTTGTAAAACGTATCTAAAGAGTATTCTCATTTCACACTGCACAGCTTTTATCTATGTGCTTTCCAGGAAGGGTCTCCTCTCAGTTCCTCACCATAGCAGACTCTTCTATTAATGCACTTGGATCACATGGACATAGCAGGAAGGAAGGCAAAGAAGGCTTGTGGAATGATGGAAAGTAAGGGAAAAAAGCAGATAGAGAAGATTTATGCCTCCAAGGTCAGAGCATCATAACTGCAGGCACTTACACCAGTAGGAAAGGGGCTGAGCCTTGGCGAAAGGCCTGAAAAGCTCAAGAACTAAGTTTCCCTATGGCCAGTATAAGCACAGCTGTGGCCAGTAGGAGATTAGAACACTTTCCTTGGTTTCCTGAATGTTTCTAAACCGAAAATCTTTGGGTCACCAGAGTAAAGCAAACTGTTCCAGAACACTGTGCATTTAAAATATGTTTCTTCAGTTGGTATAAAGGCCCATGAAGGCAGGGCCAAAGAGCTTGCTGTTCAAGGACCTGAAGCATTTTAGAAACGTTCATTAGTTTCAGTGATAATCAGTTGCTTAGAAAACCTCAGAATTCTGTCCTAATAATGTGCCTAATAATGCCTTTCAAACTTGCAGTTTTGGCATGATTTTTTTTTTCCCCCAAAGAAAGTCTGAAGAACTTGAAGTACATTTCATATGCTATGCAGTACTGCTTAAGTTTCCAGTGAAGTCACGTGTAATCTTCTCATAATCTTAATGAGAGGTAGCTCATTTTGTTAGTAGCGCATTTGTTTAGCCGATTACAGTCCTAACTCTACTCCTGTTGACTTTGTGGAAAGACCTGGGGAGGTGTTTCTTTAGCTCGCTTTTTTTTTTCAGTGCCTTTTCATTAAATTTTGATATAATACCACGTTATTTATTTTGTTAACATTCCAAAAGTTGTCCCAGCACTGGAAAAACGCGCTAGGAGAAATGACTTGGCTAATCTGACATTTTGTTCCCACTGACTTTATAATGTTGCCACCCTGCAGATGAGTAATCAGCTACAAAAGTAAAAGGAGGAGCTTGTTCTTACTCACCCATGATTAGCAGTCTCCCTTCTCACTTTAGGGATATTTCCTAATCTTTCTTTAGCACTGGCCTTTCTTTTTCCTCGTATTAACAATAAAGGGACTAAAAATCATTGTGCCATCTTTTTACACAATTACGCTTTAGAAAAGATAAGTAAATTTATTTTTGTTAGGAACAGAGCCTCCATTTAATCATTCCATTTAATTATTCTCTAGAACCAGCAGCTTTTTAAATATCAAGGTAAGAACTAACCATGATTACCCCAAATAACAGCTGGGCTATGTAGTCCCAGCTCTGCCTCATTTTTGTCTACCCTCTTCACCCCTACTTCACAAAAGGAGGTATCAAATTATTTCCACATGGAGGTTTCAAAATAAAGCAGTGAAACTCTGCTTCTAGCAAACTTATCACTAACACTGGAGCGAACCCTGGCTTTCGTTCTTCATACAGACGCACAGTACAGATAAAAGTTCTTGATGACCAGACTATTCACAACTAATACTGTGTTAAAAGAAAAAAAAAAAAAAAAACTTCAGAAAAATGACCTGATAGTGCAGAGATGGCTCAAAAAACAGGGTAAAAAAAATCACTGTTTCCAAATGTAAATACTTCTTTACTGTCAAAGACGAGATGTATATCCTCTACAATTATGCAAGCTTGTTCTGAGATGGCATTTAGTTATTTCTGGTTACCAAAGATGACCCAAAGGTTCCTGTTATGGCTTAAGATATTCCAGTATTTATTGTAGTATTCTTTCACAATACACAAAACGTAATTCTCCTGCTTCTGAGATGAGAACGGCAGTATCACCGCTGACAACAGTGGCAACAGGAACAAATGAATGGGCAGGTAACATAATTTAAAGCTGGTCCTGGGCGATCAAGGAAATGCTGAGTTCCTAAAAAGGCAGAAGGAACAGACTCTGCATGCAGCCTGCTGGATGAGATGTGCATGTCCAGAGCAGAGGCAAGTGTGCTGTGTTTTGTCATTCAGAAAACAGGTGGAATCAAGAGATGTGATGAGTTTTAAAGACTGGGTTCTGGAGCTAAGTAATAATCGGAAGGGTCTGTTCCCTATCAAGTACTGGTCATAACACAAAAAGATAAGAAAGACTATTATGATTTGAAACAAAACTTGTGCAATAACATCAACGTGGTATAAGTATCAGCGACAGTCGTACAGCTGAAATATTTTTGCGGCTGTATATGATTATTGCAATGGCATATAAAGAAACTTGTGTTTGCTTCTCTTTGCCTGAAAATAAATCTAATCTTGTTCTCATCGCTACAGAAGGTGAAGAACTGGAGGGAAAAAAAAATCTTGCAACTTGGCTTCATACAGTTCCTTCCATTCAGGCAGCATCATCAAGATGCTCTGAAAGATTAGCACATTAAATACTTGCAGTGCAGTTGCCATTTACATAACCAAAGCTTGCATTTGCTAAGCAGTCACTTGTGTCCTGGGTACACCACAAGAAATAGATTAGGAAGCTGTTAACAACTCTATATATTTGAAGCATAAATCTGTTCTGTAAGACTGAACTATGTACTGAATGTCATTTATGTCTGTAACATGAGTTAGCATTCAGTTACATTATCTGTTCCCATTTTCACACTATCTTTTAAACATTGTTTTGCCCATTTTAACTGGATTCAGTTATGATGGAAGTCTACATAGCACAGACTCTTACTACTCAGTCCACTATACTGGAACAGCATTATACCAGGAATGGGATGAAAAGACTGTTTTTAGAGATGCTGATCTTGCATTTAATAGCGATCTCCATTTCACTTGTCATATGCTAGAATATCTTTACCATTCTACACCTTTGTACTGCACAGTACACACTGAGAAACATTTAGAACAACCAGCAAATGTATTAGTCCTGTTCTGAAAGACAGTACTACCATTTTATCTGAGCGCAGGACTTAGCAGAGGCGGATAGATAGCATGCTTAGAATACAGGGAAACCACTGTGATGAAAGACACCAGCTTATGAGGAAACAGAATAAGGACAGGAAGACTAGCTGTTCTGGAAGAGCTTGGCTGCCAACCTTGAAGAGCAAGCACATTTGCCCAAATGTTTGTATTACTAACTAAACAAGAATGCCTTTGGTCTCTGACATAAGTGAGTGTCCCTTCCTACCAGGAAACAGCAAATTTGTCCATTTCTTCCTCAGTCTGCTTCTCATCCAGTTAAAACAGAGAAGCCAGGGCATAGCATAAACGTCTCTCATGGGTTTTAGTCACTCTTAGCGATTTGAACCTTTTTTGTAAATTTCTGAATGATTTAACAGCTTTCAGCACAAGGGCATAATGATCACGGTTCTCCAGATGACAGAAAATGACTGAAATATGCATTCTGATGTTGAGAATAGATTTCAGTGACTGTTCCGCCTTCAAGGTTGCAGACACATACTTCAGACTCATGCTATAAGCTTTGGATTCTGTCACTGCAGCTGCTGTGACAGCAGGAGGCCAAAGTTATCTGGGCATCGATATTTTCATCATTTCTCTATTTGATACACCACAAAATTCAGGATGGTTTCCAAACCTCTCCAGACTGAGAGACTAAACACACTCTTTTCTTTCTCCTTTCTCTATCACAAGTGGATCACAGCTTTGACCCTTCGGCCAGTTCCTTTATAAAGGGAGGAAATTCCTCTGCTTTCTGTTCTACCCTGTGCATATCCTCAAATGCCTCTCAATTTAACTTGGATTCTATAAAAGATCCACAGCAGGCTGCCTTCTGCTCAGAGCCATAGTTCCAGCAGGGAGTACTGCCCTGCACACAGATCTCATGGAAGGGAAGGGCAGGTGCACAAGAGGATCACAAGGGAAGAAGGGTTGCACTGAATAACAGCACGGTTGCCACAGTATCATGTAGATTAAGGAGAGCTATTAGCATGAAACTGTGATGCACACCCCACGCAACCTGCTCTTACTCCCACAGACGCCAGTGTCGCATCAGTGGCAGGGAACAATAACGTGTCCAGAGATACTCCCAAAATATAACCATAGAGGCCAGACAGTTTATTACCTCTGTGAGGATCGAGCGTCGATACTTCAACTTCAGTGTACTCCACCTCAGCACTCTCAAGGTCAGGTCCTGCCCCAAAAATATCAAGAAGATGTTTCTGTGTAGCACTGCATGTTTTGAGCTATGGGCCTGATCCTGCTGCCACTGAAATCAATGGACAAGTCCTCATTGACTTTGATAGCTGCAGGATCAGGCCCTACTTATGGCAGACGTAAGTTACTCTGCTAAGAGGTGTGAGGCCTACCCATGCCTGAGGCTCATCCCTATCTGACTCAAGCCACATTTCTGAAACTGTGACCTGTGAATTTTACCCGAATTCTTTTACCTGAATTTTACTGAATTCTTAGAACCTTCGAAAGTGGCACAATACAAACGAAGCAGGGGATTATGAGAGACTCTCCCATATTCCTGCTCCAGCTCTTCTTCATCTTTTGTCTTCCTGTTCTTTCCTTTTTCTCTCCCTGAAATTACTTTCTCTTTTTCCCTAGCTGCTGTGGCAGGACACACCCTAGTCTCTACTCTTCTCGTATTCAAAGCCTTTCCTGAGTCTTCCATGGCCTCCCTCATCTCCTCTCATCCTCTGAAGTTCTGCTTTGCCAAGAAGCAATTTCAGCACTTCTCTCTTGCATGGCCCTTCAAGCTCTCCATAGAACATCTACAATGGCAACCCATCCTCCTCCTCAGAATGCTCCTCTGCTACAACGCCCACAAAAAAGTCTGACGGTGATTAGACAGTTTGTTTACTAAGACTATTGGCTGACCAGTACTGGCCAGCTGGCTACAAAGGACACAATAAATAACCGTTGCCTTCTGTTCTGCCTTTTGCTTAGAGTGAAGACGGATTTCTACTGGATTCCTAAAGACTGGAAGGGACAGCCACAGTAATACAGACTGGAATCCTGAAGAACTGCCTGTGGACTTGCTTAAAACAGAAATTAGAGAAAGATCCAATGATTAGAACAGAAGAGTTTTGGAGCAGCCTTTCAGTAGCACTAGTGAGAGACAAAAGAAAAACAAAACAAAAAACAGCGTTTAAGAAGCCATATTAGTTAAAAACAAAGTTTAAAGGGCATGCTTCCTATAACAGCAATGACCCTGGAGAACTAGTATAGCCGTATGTTCCTATGTTTCTGGTGTTTGTGTCTTCCACGCGAGTGACTCTCTCCAGTTCTAATTTGACTTATTTAGATCACAATGGGATAAGCTCCATGCACCAAACGCAGGCTCTTTCCTCTTGCTTGGACACAAACGCAGAACAGATGCTCTTATTTTTAGAGGCATTATGAATAACAGCCTTGGTTTTCACATCTGGTAGAAACCTGCAACAGTTTAGTGAAGCTGCCCGATCCATAGCCGTCAGGACTGATGCCATTTACTTCCAACACACATGCGGATTATTAGACCACAGCCACTTTCATTGGAAACAAGTAGGATACAATGGAAAAAACAAGAGCCACTGAGCTACTGTTTACAAAGTTTGTTTCCAAGCTTTCCTGTGAAATTAACTTAGCGCAGCTCCTTTCTCTTAGTTTTGTGATAAAATGCTGCCTTGCACACTGAGAGTTGTATCACAAATTATCCAAAGGAGGTTCCTGCCACCTCTTTCCTACTATGTTGCACACAGGTTTATGGAGGAATCTAGTTCTGTAATCTGGATTAATTTTGGATTAATCTGAACTTCTGTTACACCAATACATTTCCATCTACCTTTTGACTCATCGTCCAAGAGACGACCAAGGCAACATGTATTCTAAAACATCAGAAATTGCATCTGATCCATCAGAACACTTTCACATCAGTACAAAACAAAAGCATTCGGGACAAGTATGCTTTCAGATGGTAACACCCACATATGTAAATACTATTCTTTAACTAAATAGCCAAGGAAAGAGTTTTCCTCATTATCCTTAATAACAGGATAGGACTGGACTTTCAAGTCTTGATTGCTACCATCAGAAAAATCACAACTTTCATTCATAAAGTAATTTAAAATCTACTGTTTAAAAAGTATGCAATTACCTTTATTTTCATCTGTTGATTTCATGTGATTTTCACCATCTTCAATGTAACCTGATCCTAAAATATTCAAGCAAAAGTTGAGCGGACAGAATATTTACTATAGGCAATCAAATGAATGAGTTACACCTTTCTCATTAAAACAAAGCTATACCTCCTATTGTCACAATGTTTATTTACATATGAGAAATTCTGCCCTTAGATTCACGTCCATGACAGTCCTACAACACAGATGGGAAGAGTGTGGCTTTTTCAAATGATCAGCCAAAAAAAAAAAAAAACAACTTTGTTCGCATCAGGTGTTCTAAACATGCCCACCTATCTTTGTAAAGCGGATGGAAATACTGGAATAAGAGGTGCTAACTAGTGGCAAGTTAATACAGCTATTCTGTGGCCAGAACATAGGACTAGATGCCACAACTTCTCAAATTTCTTCTCTGAAATCATGTTCTTGCGGCTGTGCCAACACTCTCAAAAACAGCTCAAAAACATTTTTCAAATTACTCAAAAAAGTAATTTTCTTTTACCATGGTTTATCCATCTGTAATACTGGTAACTAATTGCCTGGTAGAAGTGACTGGGCAGACTCATAAACTAAACTTTGTGTAAGATGTGCTCATGAAAAGCTATGCAATGACAATATGACAGAAGATACGTGGGAGAATGTTAATGGCATTCCTACGCGTTCCCAAAAAAACTGGGCCCTATCCAAATCACAACTATGCAAGCCCAAAACTTTAAATAAATGTTTGTTAATGAAGGCAACTCATCAAATAGTCTTCCGAAAAATATCCTACCAGAATAATAGTCCCCATCATTGTTCTGTCTTGTCAGTTTTTCACTTGTCAGGTTTGCAGCCAAGGCAGATCTGAAAAGTAAGCCAATAAAAGTTGATGTAATTATCCAAAACAGGCAATAAAAATAACAAATGATGATATGCAAAGCTGAGTCATTGTCTGTGCTGACTACCATATCTCCTTAACTATTAAAGTTAATGAAAATTTTGCCTCCATCTTTAAGAAAAGCACAAGCAAGCTCTAAGATCAAAAGTGGTCCCTCTAGCATTATTCTGCTTGAAGACTTCCGAGTTTTTAATTCCATATCTGAATGTATTCAGATGTAGGCCTGACATTCCTCTACTCCTCTTAGCTGATCTTTTTCTGTTTTTAGAATATTTCCTCATCCTGTTGTTGTAAGTTTGCAGGTGGTGTATGAAGCACACAGCCACAATCACGTATTGTCTGCAGGTGTGTGCCATGACAAAATATATTCATATGGAGGAAGGCCTCCGGCCCTTTAAACAAAAATAGTCCAGCATTATTGGAAGGTTAGCCATCTTACCCAGACATCTCCACGGATGGTCTTTTAGCTTGACAAAGAAAAATAAGAGCCGTTATTAATAAATTGCATAAGCAAGAGAATTTTAAGATGAAAATCAAAAGAGAATATAATGATTATCTACCAAAGTCAGAATACTTTCTGTTGGCTATCACAAAATTAATTACCTAGTATTCTATGTCCTGTTTATCACCCAGGTCCCTGAAATGTCTCTTTTGCAGGGAAGCTATGACCTCAAACCCCAAGCTTCAGACAAGTCAATTTACGCAGTCTGGGATTCCCAGATACTCCAAATTTTCCCAAACATTTTGCAACATGCTGCATCTCTCATGATGAACACTTAAAACAGATTCACTAATTTTCTGAAAGAACAAAATCTGAAAGAGTACCTTAACGAAAAAGGATAAATCCTTACGTGAAATTGCATTTGGGTGTAAGGAAAAAAAAGCAATCTTAAGTTGCCTCATAAGAGCTAGAAAATTACCTCAACTATCCCTGAATCAAATCATCGTAGCTCCATACCGGTTCAAAAAACAACCCCTCGGGCCCTCATCTGCCTCTACACTGCAAGAAACTGAATTCCAGACCTGGGCTTGCATCCGAACAGCGGAATTCTGACCTATCTCTAAGAACTTTTTCTTCTCCTAGTGCCTTTCCAGCACCATTGGCTAAATGTTCCCATTCTGCTCAGGGTACCTGGAAAGCCTCAGCATGCTTGCAGCTTAACCTGGGCCACCTCACACATTTTTAAGTAGATTCTGCTGCTTTTAAAACTGTATCTCCCGAAGCTTCATCCTCACAGGCCTTTGCTCCTGAAGCAAATGCAAGGCTTAAGCTATAATGCATTCATCACCCAAGAAAGAGAAGAGAATCATTTATTACCCGTTTTCTTCTTAAACAAAAACCACCATAAAGCGAGAGCTATTGCTCCTGCAATAGGTATTAGGACAAATGCAGCAATGACTCCTTTCTGCCAAGCCGCTAAGATGACTGGAAACAAGAAAGACATGTTTATAAGTATGTACAGTGGCAGGCTATCGTTATCAACTTCTGCAGTTCCTGAGCTTTCACTTTACTACAAACAGGCCCTCTTAAGCGCTGGGGGAGAACTTTAATGAGGCTTGCACGCAGAATTCACTAGTGAGCCTTTCCCCTGTGACAGACAACTTCTCAGCACAATAAATGGTTGCTTTTAGCTTCTGCATTTGGCTACCTTGGCTTTTGAGCATCCCTTAAACTGTTCTACATAGGTAAGGCAGCTCTGCTTATAAATGATTCTCTCTGTTTAACTTTTGACAACGGTGAAAGAAAAACACGTGAGAGAAGTACACTCGGTAACATCCCAAATAACATGACCCTCACTTGCCATGATGACAGAGCATACAGCTAATCATAAGGGTAACTTACCACTGATGGTTATTGGATGGCTCTTCACATGCACATTAGCTCGATTAGAAGCCATGCAGTAATATGTCCCCGTGTCCTCTCTGCTCATTGCTTCCTTGCGCCACAAGATTCTGTCTGCATTCTCACTTGTTTCATATAAAAGGACTTCATGATCAGTTTTTCTAAAAATCTTGAAGTGAATTGGCCATGATCCTTCTTTCACAGAACAGAGAAAAGCAGTCTCACTGCCATCCTCTACTTCCCCATAAGGATTACTGCCCAAGCTTGCATTCCTGATTGGCACTACAGAAGACAAAGAAAAAAAAATCTGCACTATGAAAAATAGCTTTGATGATAACATACCGTACTGTAGAAATACTTGCTTTAACGTAAGTTTTCCTTAGCTCAACAGAGACTGAATGCATAGCGCTCACGTTTTTGAACAGTCTCTGCCAGACAGCACTGTCTAGTAAATATTTTTGTACACCCAGAAATACACAGGCACCATGAAGAAACTAAGCAGACACAGAAGTAAACTATATCCATTTGCACAGAAGTCAATCAGTAACTTTTCTTAAATTTCTGTGGATCCCCATTTGGCCCCAACCTAGAAACAATCTACATTATTTTCAGAAATAACACACCGAACAGTTCAGTGGTGCAAAAATTACAGCTCAGTTTATATAGCGATGCTTACATAGTTATGTAGAGTCGTGCTATTTTACACTAACTGTATTATATCTGTTTTGTAACATTTAATATACAGTAGTGAACATCAACAGATACTGGATGAAATTCTTCAAAGGCATACGCAAGCCACAAATTTTAAGGGGTTATAGGATACAGCAAACAAAACAAGAGAAGTTAGTCTGCGCTTTAACAAGCTGTAAGAGTAGGAGTAGCCAAAATACAGTTTTTAGGTTTGCTGGTCTACAAATTAAGTATATTAGTATATACATAGCTACATCAGGAGAAGATGCATATCAGCATTTATAATTACGTAAGAAAGAAAATGCATACACAGTTAAGACTTCTTACGATGCAAGACATGTAGAATGTTAGTACCTTCATTAAACGCTTAGGATATGAAGCAAATGTTTTTGCCAACAATCACTAAACAAAATTTCTCTGGAAAGATTTTAAATATGAATGGGGCAAGGTCACAAATAACACAAAGCAGATGTAAAAGAGAAGTCATTAAGGCAACATTGGTAGAGAAGCAGACACAGGAAGCCAATGCTGATATAAAAAGATGCTACTCATGAAAGTTGTATTGGTATTAGATAGGAAGCAGGAAGTTAGGATTTAGATGTAAGATGTGGGTCACTAGGACTGATCCCATGACCATGATAGGACTTCTCCATCAGACATAGGTCTTTTTTCAGATTCTGTCCCCAGAAAGCGACAGAATACAAAGAATTCACAGAAACCACCTTGGGAAAGACTGACTCTGCAGAAGGTTGGCTCACCAGGCCCCAAACCATGATTTTCTATTCAGAACTTCCAAACAGCGTCACCATATTTCCCGAACTACCACCTCTAACAGCTGGGATACATCCCAACAGTCCCACCAAATGTGTGTAAGCTACTAGACAAACATCCATTTGTTAACAGTTGAAGATTACGCTTCGTATCGATCTATTCGTTACTCGTTATTTTAAGTCACCTTGACTTTAAATCTTAATGGATACATCTCTTCATAGAATGGGTACTTCTCTTCTCTTTCATCATTCATCTTCTCTCTAGTGTCAGCAAAGCACGTCCTGGTGAAACTGATGAACTTAAGACACTCTCCAACCTCTAGAGACTAGCAAATGCACATATAGCAATTCAAGGTCTGTTTAGGGGCTTAGAGAGTGGAGAGCACGTCCTTCAAACGTGCAATAGCCCAACCGACATAGAAGAAAAGCAGCAGTTCAGGATGAATCTGCTCTAGTCACATACAACCCAACATCAGAACTTACACTTCTTCAGCAAACTCGGAGAAAAAACAGCCTGTTAAATGCAAGCTCATCTTTTTTCAAACCAAAACAATTTGGATTCAGGCCAGAACACAACATTGAAAATACGCTGGTAGCGAAAGATTTCCTCCTCTTTTCAATATGGAAAGAATAATAGACTTCTGCTCTGGTCTGGGATTACTTGGCAGTACTCAGGTTCGGTAAACCTAAAATACTGCTGATACATGCAAGAAAAGTAGCAAGGATCAAAGGAAATGGGTTAAAATGGCTCTGCAAGTGGATCCTCCATCACTAGTTCCATTGCTTACCAACTTATCACTAGTTCCCTTGCTTTCCAAGTTCCAAAGAAATCAGTTCCTGCTCCAGCCTTTTCCAGTAGCTGTACACAGTTACTATCTGGCTGAATGACACGGACATAAGTACCAGCAACATGCAGTGGATACATGTAGCTCTACTTATCTTTCACCACATATTGCCATACCACTACCTTAATCGTCAAATGTTTGGACAACATCAGCATATCATAAACGTGTGATGAAGAACTACCAGCTCTAAACCTAAGTGAAGTAGAGGTGACATTACTGAGCAGAAAAACATTCTGAAGAGGTTACAGATAAAATTGTATTTCCTTTAATAAAAGGTCAATACCTACAATTAGTCAGTTCCTTCTGTAGATGGAGCAGCAGCCACAAGCAACGTTTTCTTTACTTCCAGTTGGGTAGGAGGCAATTTTTTCTACTTACATCACTCATTATTCAAGACAAACCACAACAAGACTACATGCTTTGACATGAAGCCTGCAACTGTTAGAAACCTTCATCTAGTATAGAAGGCTTCAGTAGGCTTCCTCAAACACTCTGTAATCTACAATTATTTCTCACAGCTTTTCAATTTAAATTCAAGGTCCAATCCATATCTTGGGTACAGCATAACCAAGAAGCTTCTTTCAGTCCCACAGCAAAGCCTGTTGTTGACAAATAAGCTCTTTGGGCACACCAGGAAATGACTGTCATGGGGTAGAACATATCTAAATCAGTGACAGAATTTTCTTGAGTCAACCCTTTGAACCACTAGGAGCTAAACCAGGAATTATCACTCCAAGCCTCAATACCATCTGCTCTGAGCGCTCTTTGCCATCAACAAAAAATCTACAGAGACATGGCATACTGGTTAAAATTCTATCAAAACAAGACACTCTCTTACAAGTGCAACAACAGGGAAAACCACACACACACATGTCTTAACAGTTATCAGTCCTGACACCAGTCTCATGCGGCCTGCTATGGAATTGTTATTTGCCTCAGATTCTTCTCATATCTGCCAATAGCACACTTGCAAATCACTACTCTCACTTGCATTCTCCTTCTTGGAGAGCTCTATTAAGATTTCCAGCATGTAACAGGCTCCATGGTTTCTTCTGTGAACTTCCAGTTCATCTTCTTTTAAAAGCTTCAGCTACCAAGTTCCCTCACAGGCAGAGGAATTCTGCCCTTTCTAATGCAGCCCCTATCTTTTCCTGCAGCATCTCCCACAGGTTTCCTCATGTTCTAGATTGAAATTTCCCCATCCTTTGTTAAAGTTGCTTGTGGTCACTTAAGGATTCAAATTTTTTTTTTTTTCCTAATTTCACATTTCTTTCCCTTAGTCTAGGGACTCTACTGCCCTCTCCAGCAGTGCAATTCTGCCCTCTCACTCTAAGGGGTTAATAGCCAGTGAAGTCACTGTACTTAAAGTCGAGCGTAAGGGTAACCTCATACACATCTGTAGGATCTGAGTCTACGCTAGTATACAATAACTCCTAGTATGAGCCATAATAATAGACTGACTTTCAGAGCCGCTTAGCAACTGCAGCTTCTAGTTTGAAAATGCTCAGTGCCAAACTAATAACAGAGGTATTTAGAGGGATTACTAAAATATAAAAAAAATGCAGATTTTAAATCTTTTACCAGGAATTTAGCTTACATGCTGATTTTAGCAAGTAATATCACAGAAAGAGCTCCAGGATCCTTACGCATACATTTAATCTAGCCCTTCAAAAATCAAACATGAAAAAATTGGGTCTGGTCCTGAAATTGTCGTTAATTTAACTAAAACAGCTAATGCCTTGCAGGTTTTTCAAATACTCAAGATCAAATTATTCATATTTTCCCAATAAGACTTCTATAATAAGATTTCAAGCCAAATCTCTTCCATCAAAATAATTTCAATTGTAGTTAACTTGATCCAGATTACAATCATAATTTTACTTCAGTGACAAATAGCGAGCAATACAGACTCCAACTATTTTTAATTCACCTGAAAAAAAGTTTTACAGACATTTCACATCCATCTCGCTTAGTCCATCATTTGATGCTACAAACACTTCCAAAAATCAAAATCTAAAATTAGACAAGAAGAATTAGACAGACTTACCTATCACTGTGATGTTCAGAACATTACTAGTTTTCATACCACTGGAGTGATTATTTCTAGCATCACATTTGTATCCTCCTTTGTCATTTTGTCCAATATCTTCATCCCAGAACGTTGCATATGTGTCATTAACTACTGTTTTCTTAACTTCGTTTCCTTTGTAGAACGTGAATGTTATTGGCGGTGTTCCCATCACAGAACGACAGATCAACTGTAGAGGCTTCCCTAACACTACCTCTGGTAAACCACTGACAACAGAAAGAGTTGGCTTGGAGACTGGAGCTAAAATGGGAAGAAAAGAAAAAACACTGCCAATTCCGTTGCATAAGGCCAAAATACACATTTTTTTTTTTTTATATATATCATGCAAACATAAAATAGTTAGCTAGTTTCCACAGACTGCCTAGATGGGGAGCTGTTGCTCTTTGGTAGAACGGAAGCAGAGGGATGACTTGAACATAGCAAAACCAGAGATTAAAATATGTGAATTAGACTAAAAGATCATGTGAGGATAGTGCAAAGGAAGCCAAAAAAAAAAAAAAAAAAAATCAATGACCCAGCTGTGGATCATCCAAACTTCAGAGCTACCTTTGACCCAAGCAGTAAGTCTGTACAGCAAAAAAAAAATATACAAGTAAAGTAGCATTGTTTATATTACCCAAGACGGACCATGCAGAGCCTAACCAAGGATCTCTGTGTCTGCAGCACAGTCGATCACAACTGAATTAATCTTCCTTTACCAACTTGAAAACTGACTTTGCATGCTCCATGAGAAGGAAGAAAATTGGGGTGTTGAAAATTAGCGTGCTGGTCAGGGGGCGGAGGAAGGCGTTGTATTGAAAGCAAAAATTGGCTTTCCTGGGGTAGAGCTATCTAGATGACCTCTGGCTCTCGTGGCTTTCTGTCTGGGTGTTTAGAGGGATGCAGACACTGACACAGTTTCAGATCAAACTGATGAGTGAGAGGTTTGCAGAACATTACCATCTCCTGGGACTGGTAATGACATGAGAGTTATTTGGCTCTTAACAGAACTGAGGGGACAAGACAGAAGGGAAGGCATATTAACTTCCTTATCTCCAGGCCAGCCCTAGAAAAGCCTGACCTGATTAGATCAGGACAAATCATATCTTCTGCAGCTAGAGATTGCAAGCACATTTCACAGAAAATAAGATTGCAAATACTAATAAACAGCATGTTAGTTTATGGACTGTAGATTGATTCTGCAGACAGATGAACTTAATTTATATGCTTATGGTTTCCATTTTTTTTCCCCAACATTGGGCTCTAAAACTCTGTATCAACTCACCATAAACATTTATCTTTACAGGTTTGCTCTCCTTGACTATTCCTTTTACTTCAGCTTTACAGATATAAGAGCCAGTATCATTCACGTGAACTTTCATCGTTAAGTTCCTAAAATTTTTCAACCAGATGTCTCCACTTGAATTTTTCCTTAATATAGAGAAATTAGCTTTCCGAAAACCACTTATGCTGCAACTCAAGGTTAATTCCTTATTTTCATCCAGCTTAACTGCAGAAGCACTCAATACTGGCTTGGGGAATAACTCTGCAAAATAGAGAGAGAACAAATTCACTCAAATTGAGCATAAAAGAATACAACTACCTATCCCGAAATATACAGAACGAAGGACAGAGTGAAAGTTTACAATCAGAACAAAACCAAACACGCTATTTTAACATAGTTATATTTTCAGGAAAAACAGAAACTATGCAATTTTTTTTTTAAAGTCACTTCTCATACATGTTATTTGAAAACATTATTTTAATTGCGAATTATTTTAATTGTGAATTATCAGTGGCAGGCAAAAATCGGAAAGCCAAATGTAAACGTCCTTTAACTTAGGGAAAATTTACTCAGGGGGTATAAAGTCTGGGTATAAACTTTGCAAATCTACCAAATCTTACCAAATCTAAATACCACTTCACTGAGTAGAATCTAAAACGAACAGAGGCATTACCTGCCACAACAATGTTCAGCTTGGTGGTTTTAGAGGCTCTCCCTTGCTCCACCTTACACAGGTATTCACCACTATCCTCTAGAGTAGCTACTGCAGAGTATTTCAAAAGCTTCTCATCTCGTACACTGTTCAGTATTGTTTTGTTTTTCTGGAGTATGATTTCAATGTCACGCATTCGGGCTACCACTGTTGAGCATTCAAACTGTATTCTGTCTCCTTCTGTAATATTATTTGAGGGCTTGGCATTCAGAGTAGGCTTTATAAATGGTTCTGCAAGAGAACACATACAAAATCATGATCCAACCTTTTTAAATTTGGCAAGCAAAGAAACGTAAACATACAAGCTAAGCAACTTACCCTTGACTGTAACAAGTGTTCTGTTACTGGGTTCCGAGGTTTCAAGTTCAAAGTTTACATATCTCCTAGCAAAGCAATCAAAATGTAAAATGTTATCCCCTTCTTCAACAGAAAATTCCACAGTGTGAAAGTTTCTATGTAGTTCAAATACATGTTTTTCTTTAGGTGTCGAATTCATCTTTATCTTCCGGAAAAAGAAATATAAAGGAGGTACTTCCTCTGGCAGTTCACAACGTAATTTCACAACTTCACCCTCTAAAACTTCTTTTTTCTCAGCAGTCAGTATTGGCTTGGTCATTCCTTAGAACAGAAAACAAAGGAAGAAATAGATCACTGCGTAATCATGAAAGAGACACTATCCTCTGATGACTATGTTAGTGATTTATGCTAATGGCCAGACTCAAATAATCTGCAAGAACGGGGGTTCAGGGTTTTTTTTTTTTTTTTTTAAATGCTGCACCTGTGAGCTTTTTAAGACAGTTCCTTTTACGTGTGGGTGCATGCTAGGGCACTTACTTTCAGAAGAACAAAACATCCCTCAAGATAGTAACATAATCTTGATGCGGTTTGTGAAGTATGAAACTCACTCTTTTAAACGTTAAGACCACTTTTTCCTCAGTGTTTCCTACTGCCACCCAGAAACGGGCAAGAAACTAAATAGCATTCCAACTATTGTAACTAAAGATGCAGGCCTTTGAAGGAAAATTACAGGCCCTGTAAAACCCTGCAGCTATTTAACCATGAACCAACACTTTCAAGTAGCTTTTCCACTCACAATTAAGAACATGTGTGGCTGCAAAGACTACAGATAGAGGTGGCCCCATCTTCATAAAAGACGAAGGAGCAAGACTGATATGACACAGCCCACGGAAGCAGTCCACAGTTGGTACAAGCTTTGGCTGTGGCTCTTACAAGGTGAGAATCTCTATATTCTATTTCCAGCTCTTCCAGTAACCCTCCTTCCACTAGATTTATGATACACAGGCACAAGCTTTCCGTTCCTGACTGCCGCTGATCTGCCAGGTAACCTTGGGATAGCGATTTCACTTCTGTGCCTTAAAACGGGGATTTAGTAACAAACTCTTGTAAAGCACTACGATGTTTACGGGAAAAAACACTACGTAAGATATCCACCTTAGCACTGATTACTTTTAGTTCCCCTGGGAGGTTGTTCTCTTTTTTTGTATCTTAGAAAACAGCCATGTTTGAAGGAATACTCACCTGTCACCCAAACGTGTAAAGAGTTACTAGATTTTGTCTTCCCACCTGCTTCCACAGTACACTCGTACTCTCCTGTTTCTGAAGATCTAGCTACGGGTATTCCATATTGTGCCTCTCCTTTATCTGATGCAATCGTGAACACAAGCTTGCGATCCTTAAAAATTGTAAAATTATGCCTCAGCTGGAAATCGTTTTTTCTGCTAATATCAGCACGGCAGATGATTGACATAGGAGCACCATTCTTCACTTTGACAGATGGCTGAACCTTGATTTCAACCGTGTTGAAAGTAAAAACTTGACGGAGAAAATAAAAGAATTACATTTTTTTTTTCAGTTAATTCAACACAATATTGTTATCTCAAGCATCTTAACCACTAAAAACAATTCTTTGTACCCTAGCAGCAGCTTGCCTTCTTTTTGTGCTACTGGTCAGATCTCACAGATGTTGACAGTGGTAGCAGCTCTACCTTCTACCACACAGGTATGCTAGGGCAAATGATGGTTATCACAGCATGCACTGTCCATCTCCTCTGCCTTTGCCTTGGGGGCTTGACAGAATCATTGAGTGGGCCACTAGTTTAACACTCATTCTCCAAGCTTCCAATTGTTTTCGGCTTGGATGTTTTCCTAAATCAATTGTTTTATCTATTCAGTAAAGACCAAATAAGGCTGTCTTCCAAACACAAATACTTCTCCAGTCCTGCCTTGCATATATGTATTCTTGCATCCACCATACCAACTGGAAATGAGTTTAGCTTTTTGAAGGATACCTTCTTATTTCCATATACCTCCTTCACTTTGCTCTTTAGTCATACCTACTACTTTTTACCATCTCTCAAGTCTTTCCTAACAGGTGTTATGCACTGGTACCACATTCCACAGTATGACACTGCTCAATTGTTTCCATATCACTCCAGGAATTTAATTTTCTTTGAAGTTTTATTCTTAGCAGGCTTACGCACTTTTACGTAGTCCTCCATTTTACACGTGAACAAAAGTGTGATTTGTTTTTCTACCTTAACTACTTCTGTATCACAGTCAATAGAAAAGAGCCCTGATCACATACTACTCTGCCTTAAAATACCTCCACCTCTACTACTGTATATTTCCTCTCTGAGCTAATACTTTAGGTTCTTATGTCATCTCAAAAAAAAAAAAATTTTTTTTTCAGAAATAAGTGTGCAAGTTGATTTTTCATGTAACAGATAAAGGTTCTGTGCATACTGTTGCAGATGCTAAAATGCAGACAGGTTCAAGGGGAATGTAGACAAGAATAATGGAATAATGATACACAGCATAACAGAATTCTACTGAGAGTTATTAAACATATAGAAACACATCAAATTCAGAAAGCACACACACCTGAAGCCTATGCCAATTAAAACTAGTTTGAATGTGTCTCAGTCCTTCCTTTTGGTACTCATAGCAGCCCTCTTCTATCCTGGACAGACAAAATTTTGAAAAATTAAGATCTAGATGCTCACGGCCAAATCCACTAAATTCCCCGGAAGATACAGAAGATGCTTAAATTGGTTTGCAGCTGACGCCTTGGTTTTCCTTATTACTCATGGTTTCTTGTTTCCAACTCTTATTGCCAGAAGATCTGAGAGGTGGATAAAACTTTAGATTTACGCTTATCTGAATAAACTGCAAACCTATGGAGCTCTATTTAACCTCAAGGCACTTAGCAGAAGTTTCTGGAGTTATCCCAGCATTTTTTATCCCAAATAGGGTTACAGTTACTTCATTCAGCAAATTCCATTTTAAACACATAACACAAAAGCCTGGGAGAATTTTAAATCTCTAGCTTAGGACAACTGGAGCATGATGGAAGATATTTCATTTCCAGTTCTGCAAACTAACATGTGTATGTCTAACTTCACTGGGTGGGCAGTCCCGCTAAATCCTTAATGATCATACGCAAAAGCAAAGCCTTCATTTAATTTAAATGAGAACATAAACTGAACATATATAAAATCTCCTAGAATTTAGACTTGTTAGTCCCGGAAAAAAAATATACTGCATACAATAGTCCTATTAAAAAACAAAAACACTGCTAACTACTTTAAGAAATAAAGCCTCTGTGTAAACATCAGAATGATAAATATTTTATAGTATACAATTTGAAAATTATTAGAATGGTGTTATAATCTTTTAATTCACAGTTAGATGAACAAGTATAGGGAAACATTTATGAGTTCATTCATTTTCCCTTCCCCTAGAACTTTTGGGTCTGCCTATCTTGCTCAGGATTTGTATTACAAATTTGCCTACTGGATTAGGAAGATTTCGCCGTGCCACATCCTCTTATTGGCTATTTATAAATCGACCCTGCCAGAGAGAACTTTAGGTATATAACAAATACAAAAATTGTATTTTTTGCATGCGAATCAACTGCCTGGCAAAAAGAAGCAACCATTTCCCTGAAGTGACAGAAAAAAGGGAGGATGTAGCATATATGTGCTGGGGGCCAGCAAGAAAATAACATAAAAATTAAACGCTTTCCACCCAGGATACAAGTTCTGTACTCTGCTCAGACACACTCTTGGGAAATTTTGCAAAATAAGAAATAAATAACTCCAGAGAGTGCCCATAACATATATTCTATAATTTTTTACTACCTCCTTGCTTGGAGGGGATGAGAGAGAGTTTTGTTTAAAAACAAAGTGCTAACAACTAAATTTCCCCTTCTAGCTCTTCTTTTGTGTGTCTTAGTCACACAGCCTGCTCTAGGAAAGTTTTCACCAAAATGTTTATTAAAACATGGGCAGCACACCTCTCATTTAAATACTGCACCAAGAAACACCACTAAGTAATATCCTTTTTCACATGGCCCAATTTTGCTCTGAATTATAGTACAGCAAATCCAGATAAACTCCAGATAAACTAGTGGATGTACGCTAACAACTGAGGAATTAAAGTACTTCTTTCAAAATTCCATGCAAAATCCTAACTTACCTCTCTCCTGAGCATAAAGTTCTGAACCTGGGAAAAAAATGAAAAGAAATGTCATTTTCTAAGCTTACAGATTGAGGGACAATAATGGGAAGCACTACAAAACCCCAACAAAAATCAAGCAAACCAAAATGCACATACACACCCAGATACTTCGTTATCAAACTTACAGTGCAAGAAAATCACCAGCAGAGCAAGATACATCTCGTTCCTGAAGAACAGACCCTTAATTCCAAAATAAAACAATATTCATCATCAGATGTGATTTTGCCTCAAGGTCCCGAAAACAGGTAAAAAGTTTTTTTGTTTGTTTGTTTTATGGAAACAGATAAAGTTTTGCCATTAAAAGTGGTAATTTTTTCCAGATATGCAGCAGAAATTGTCTGGTTCAAGTAATCGTTCCCATTACTGGAAACTGGAAATGGCAAACAATGAGAATCTATCTGCTGCTCACAGACAGATTACTGTTCAGGAAGTGACTGGACTTTTCCTGAGGGCGTCACCAAATGCATTTTCTTTGTTTAATTTCTCAAGGTATATTAGAAAAAAAAAAAACCAAGAAGTTCCAATGGCATTTATCCTGCAGTTCCTGATAATATGGGTATTTTAAAGTCATGACTAACTATAGAAGAACAAGAATTACATTTACTGTTTGACCTCAACAGATCCTTGAGTTAAGCATCTCTCTTCATCCTGACATGGAGAACTCTTTCAGAGAATCCATATACTTGGTTATTCATTTTTCCCCACTACCTCAGTTCCTAGGTCTCTCATCCCAGCAGAGAACAGCTTTACCATAGAGCACATCATACATTCACACTGTCTCAGAAAGCACAGTTACTACAAAGTCAGACTATAGTTTTGACAGATGGACCTCACATATCACCCTCATATATCAAAAGTGCAAAAGTGTACAATTTTTTATTCTGTTACATTAGAATACTGCAAATTATATACAATCATCAAACTTAAACCCCAAAAGAAAATAACTGGTTGGAGTTTCATCCCCCATCAGAGGTCTGAAGCAGCACTGGCATAAACTGAAATGGAAAATACTCTGGAGCAAGAGCTAAACCTTCCTGATTTACTTGGTACGCACTTTCTTTAGGCTTTCTTCCACAGTTAGGGAAAAAACTTCCATTTTGTAAGAAATGAGTAATTCTAGTGTTCTGTTCTGAAGTTCATATCCCTTTCTCACTGCACCTCTGGCAGCTATTTACACCAATGGACATGGAGGGCAAAAACCAGTACTAAATACATTCACAGAAGTCTGTAAACAGAGACATACAGCTTTACTGTTTATACGAAAAACCTTTTATTTCTCCTGGGGTCAATGAAAACTTTTTCCCCAACCAATAGTTCACAGCTACAAGCATCGATGTATAGCTTATATTACACGCATAACTGTGGTATATTCCCAAAGAAAACAGGAGAGAAATACTTATCTATTTACCAACATATCAGCAATATGAACAAGCACCCATTTAGCTATTTTGTAGTAGGGAGTACAGAACGGCACAGCTGTCATAGCAATTAACGATTAAGTAGTAAGCTGGTTAACTAGAAATATCTAGTCTGCTTAACCCATACTGTTTCAAACACACTAACAACAAAAGATTGATAGCTTGGCTAGTTGCCAGCATCTCCAGCACCAGGTAAAGGAAGGAGAAAGAGACCACATGGTGGATGGAAAACAAAGATTGATAAACTTTTGTTACTGATAGTAGAAGAAATAGGAAGGAAGGACATTTCCCCCGCCCCTTATCCCTAAAAGAATTCAGCATGACATACAGAGAGTTCTGCAGAAACACACTAGTCTTTCCAACATGGGGACAAAGGCTCTCCTCTTAGCCACAGAGAGGGAAGAAGAAAGTGGGTATGGGCCAATATACTTTAGTTTCCACTAGAGTGAGCCTATATGGCTGAGTTCAGAACCAGGTTAGGTTCACACCGAGGTTGAAAGGCTGGCCTTTTAGATTAACTAGGACAGCAGTTAAGTTTAATGGTGGCAAAACCTGGCGCTACCGTGACATGTCACTCCTAAGTGAAGGATGCCCTATAAAATCTCACAGGCCATTAGACTGTCATATTCTTTATAAACCCTCAAAATTGCCCCAGAGAAGAAAATCTTTCTGGTCTTGGTCAAAATCCAAAAGCTCAACTCGAGCGCAGGAACTTCAGCCAAAACGTTACGAAATTCAAGAGAAAAGGATTTCAAATGCAAAGGAATGGCTTGAGACTATTTTCCATTGTTAAACAGGAATTCAGATTGGCTTAGTTTAAATAATTTAAATTTAATTTAGAAGTACCTGTGCCAGTAGTACAGCTGCATATTTTCCCAATAGTCACCTTGGTCTCTCAATAAACCTTTTTCAGAAACATGTAAGATCAGACAAAGTACTTCTAATACATACACCGTTTACAAAACTCCCTTCAGCCTCTACTGCATTCGTGAGAAAAGTAGGACCGACATCAATAATCCAATATACCTTCTGAAGTCGATGGAGAAACTGATATAACCTGATGCAACGTCCCTTGAAGCCTAGAGGAAGCTTTACATTTAACTTAATGCCCACTGAATCAGACCCTTAAACATTGAAGCTGTCTTCCTCTGGGAACTCAAAATCCCTGCTTCTGTTGGCTGTCCCCCCTACTATTTATTTAAACATGACATTTTCTAAAACCTATCAACTTTGTCATTTGAACAGAGCTTTGCCTAAAATCAGGGGCAAAGCCTAGTTTCCTGCTAAGGACTAAAGGCTGAAAAAGATTTTCAAGTATTGGGTCCAAAATATATGATGTTTTCAGCCAGTCCCTTATGACAGAAAAGGAAGCTAAGAGTTTGCGCCACATCTCAGCTGTTTATTTTCATTAGCTCTCCAGCTAGCTGGCGCGACAGTACAGAACGTGCTGTGATGCTGATCATTAGGACTGACATCTTATTTCCTCACAGTGCACATGCTGATTCCAACAAACCTTCCGGAGTCCCTAACCTTCATCTCCTGGCCTCAAACACCCATTCTTGAAGGGAGTTTAATTTTCTTTAGAAAAGCTAATGTCTCTACATGTGCTGCCTTCAAGTTCTACCTCTCAAATTTACTGACAAAACATTTCTCTAGAGAACAAAATATTCTGAGGTTACCAGACCCTGTCCCTACTAGACATAACTTCTTGTATAAACTCACTCACTCACTCCTATCTTAAAGGCAGTCAATTGCTTTAGAGATGTTTCCACAAATGTTTGGGACTTTATACAATTTCTAACAATTTTACAAAAATTCAGAGATCTGAGTCCATCCTCACTGAAAACAATGCAAGCTTTTCCAATAACTAAACAAGGCTAGAAAAGCACCCAATGTACAGTTACCACGGCTTCCAATTCTGTTTAGCTCTCATTTGTAATCCACCAATCCTGATATGTGGGATTTCTTTGGTTCTTTAACACCGTCAACTCTTTTGCTTATATTATGACTTCCTGTTTCAGCATACTTACAGTTATCAGAATTATATCAAATGCAGGCTGTTTTCACAGGTCCAGACAAATCCTTGGGGAAATGGAAATGAATTGAGTTTGTTCTACATACATTTTCAGCACATACCGTCTTCTCTTGAACGTCATACATTTTTAAATGAAGACGAAAGATGTAAAGCATCTCTTTACACCTCCCTAGAGAAGAAATGAAATTGAATTTTATTCCTGGATTTGAAGATTTACCAAGAACATTAAGGAACCTGACTTTTTTTCCTAAGTCTAGAAGTTCTACAACTTACAGTAAATCTGTATCAAAGTTCATGCTGCTCAGAATAATATTACATTTCACAACGGCACCATCTACCGGAAGAAGACCACTAATCAAAGGAAAGTAAATGTTTTCTCCGCTTCCATCTTTCAGAGTTAAACCAGCGTTTCTCTCAAGTCTTTCCTACAGTTACTGACATCTAACACCTCATTCTCCAAATGGCAACATAAATTACATCTGGAAAAATAACTGAAGGGACCAGGAAGTTCATAATGAGAGAATATCGCTGAAGCTTTCATACTGAAATTTTTCTTCTGAATGCAACAGGAGCTACTTATTACTATTTGGCTCAACTCTTTTTTACCTGTACAATAGTATCTTGAGATGGAAACTAGGAAACAGAAGTCTTGACTTGTATTTCATGTAGCACGTATTACTGTGTTACCTTGGAAATTCATTCAGACACAAAGGGACAGAAATCCCTTCTTTTAGAGATGTTAAGTCCATTTGTTGATTTACATGATGATTGCACTCTCTGATAACACCTTTCCGACTTTGTTCTCTATTACAGTAGTGTGCAAAAGTCACTGCTCCTACATCTTAAGGCCATTTAAAAAAAACAAAGTCCAACCATCATCATCAACCTCCTTATACAAGGCTGCAACCTGATTTAAAACATACAGCACAACGTTACAACAAACAGTACCCCAATCTGTCAAACAATATCTAGCACCAAAAAATACCTTGCATTTTGTCACAACTTCAACAAAATTGGAATATTCCAGACCCACGAAAGAACTGGATTCTGGAGCTATCCAGTTCCACTGCTTTCATAGAACTAAATTGCATTGCAGTCACCTACAAAGAGAGACATGAACAGAATTCTCTCATTTCTGGTGACAAACGTAGTATCTCCTGCACCAAAATAAACAAGCAACAGCCTTAGATTCATGAACTTACTGCTGCGTGTTGAAACATGATAATTTCTGGGAGAACACTGAAAATGCTCCCATTACTGCAGTAGGTAAGAAATTAACCCGCTTCTTAGGAAAAATAAAGCACTGGGACTGGTGAACAACATCGTCAAACCACTCAGTGATTCTGCGGAAAGGGGGGAAGGGTTCGCCCTGCTAACGGCTCCACGTACTCGGGATGCGCGGCCGCGGGCCGGCTGCCTCCTGACCGCGGCGA